GGTCTCAAACTTGCGTGTTTTTATGACACCAATAAATTCTCAACCTTAAAACAGAATCCCCTGTTTCCTTTCCACTAATTGAAATCTCTGTGTTCTGTAGCTCCGGGCTGATGTGGTCCCAAAGACTGCAGGTAGGTGAGGTAGAAAAACATTTTCCGTGTCACTGTGCGTCCTCAGCTTCCTCACACCCAACAATCAATTTATGTTTCACTGCTGAAAAGTTTTCGTTCCCATTCAACCACAGCGGGATTTATTCTAAATATCTGTCAGGGCTATGGGTGATAGAGATTGTGAAAATAATACATGAATCAACTGACACGTGGAGATACTAACACCTATAGCTTAATACTAGAAAGAGAAGGATCTGTGTAATGCTTTACAAATTTACTAGATCACCAGCCACTAAGGTTTATGCCACAGCTGCCTAAAAGTTATATTATTATGACATTATTTATTATGTTTCTGAGATGAATAATTCACCATAACTTACTTAATCAAAATGGTATTTCTAAAAATGTTAAAATATAATAATTATTGTTATCCATGAAGTTTCAAATTTACTGTAAAGATGATAGAACTTTATTAATCCCTCAGGTAGGTTCCTCCAGGAAATTAATTGAGTATTCAGGGTTTTTTGTTTGTTTGTTTGTTTGTTTGTTTGTTTGTTTGTTTGTTTGTTTGTTTGTTTGTTTGTTTGTTTTTTACCAAAAGCCGAAAAATAGTTTGCTTATTATTTTTATTGACTTTAGTTGCTTTATATATTTTTAAGTAAGCAACAATATGCTAATTTTACAGAAAACTTCCGTGCTTTGTGCACTGGAGAGAGAGGTTTTGGCTACAAAGGCTCCACATTTCACCGTGTGATCCCTAAATTCATGTGCCAGGTACAGTCGAGGCTTGGAATATGTAGTGTCCTCACTTTCACCTGTATGTATTTATGTATGTTTACCACATGTGCTTCATTTTTTCTCTTCAGGGTGGAGACTTTACCAACCACAATGGAACAGGGGGCAAGTCCATCTATGGAGAGAAATTTCCTGATGAGAACTTTCAGTTGAAGCACACAGGCATGGGGACACTGTCCATGGCCAATGCAGGGCCCAACACAAATGGTTCCCAGTTCTTCATCTGCACAGCCTCAACTGACTGGTAAGCTCTACTTAGTAATGCTGCTGCATTCAGGTTCTATTCAGCTTATTTCAGGTGTCTTTCTCGCATACTAATACTTTCCTCTGCTCTCCAGGCTGAATGGGAAGCATGTGGTGTTTGGCAACATTGTGGAGGGTATCGATGTTGTCAAGGCAATGGAGAAGCAAGGCACAAAGAGTGGCACAACTAAAGCCAAGATTGTCATTGCTGACTGTGGCGAACTAAAATAGTGTAACTCATTCCCTTATCAGATATAGCCTTTATCATCCACGCCAGTCAGTTTTTATGGTTCAGCATATCAACAGTCAGAATGGGGAAAAACACCAAGTTGACCAACTTTCTCCTTCTAAAATGTTTCTCTGCTGTGTTGTCATTTGTCGTGTTACTTTTTGTTTGTTTGTTTAAATAATTTATTTTGTTTTATTTCTTTTTACCTATAACATTATCCTTTTCATGATCACATTTGTTAACAAAATCTAGATAAAATGGTGGTGGTGTTATAAATAAACTAATTGAAAGCATGTTTTTTGTGTATGCCCTCTTTTATTTATACATAATCAGAATCGTGTTTATGTGCCAAGTATATGTGCAGACACATACAAGGAATTTGGTTCCGGTAGATGGTGGCTCTCAAGCACAGCAATGTAAAACACACACACACACACACACACACGCACACGTCTATATATACATTACACATTACATATGCATACACATACATACACAAAGCTGTGTAAACCAACTATAAATAACTAATCTAAACTTGTATACATAAAATACAGAAATGAAATGAGGTGGAATGAATACTACAGAATGTACATAAGTTGCAGTCTGGCAGTGGGAGCAGTGTGACAGGTCAACTGTTTAGAAGGGAGATGGCGAGGGGAAAGAAACAGTTCCTGTGTCGGGTGGTCCTGGTCTGCAGGCTTCTGTACCGTCTGCCAGAGGACAGCAGATCAAAAAGTCTGTGTCCAGGGTGTGAGGGGTCTGTGATGATTTTCCCTGCCTGTTTCCTGGTTCTTGGCGGGTACAGATCCTGGATGGAGGGCAGGGGGGTGCCGATGATCCTTTCTGCTGCCCGTACAGTCCGCTGCAGTCTGCTCCTGTCCTGTTTAGTGGCTGCTCCATACCAGACTGTGATGGAGGAGCACAGGACAGACTCAATGGCCGCAGTGTAGAACTGGATTAGCAGCTCCTGTGGAAGACTGTACTTCCCCAGTTGTCTCAGGAAGTACATCCTCTGCTGGGTCTTTTTGAGGATGGAGTTGATGTTGGTCTCCCACTTCAGGTCCTGGGAGATGGTGGTACCCAGGAACTTGAAGGTCTTCACAGTCGACACGGGGCTGTCTGATATGGTGAGGGGGAGCAGAGTTGAGGGATGTCTCCTGAAGTCCACTGTCATCTCTACAGTCTTAAGAGTGTTCAGCTCCAGATTGTGCTGACTGCACCAGAGTACCAGCCGCTCAACTTCCTGCCGGTATGCAGACTCATCACCATCCTGAATGAGGCCAATGA